GGTAATTGGCTGGTCCCTGACTATAAAGGGGGAAGCTTGGCAAGTTAGATTACTCGGAGAAAGGAGGATGCAAAAATGCGGTCTGAGTCTAAATTTACTCCGGCGTCTAGCAGCCTCTGAGCTCTCTCGCTGTGCACTGAGGTCACTGGGAAGCCGAAGAGGAGGGCACCCAGCACAGCTCTGAGTCTCTGTGGTGGGGTGTTGAAGAAGGGGACTCTAAAATAGCATGGACAAGAGCTGGTGACAGAGGTTGTGGGAGAGACGGCGCTCTTGGCACCTGAATCATCCCGTCAGTCCGTGTGTCTAAAATTATCCCGAGTCACTCGCGGTTGATTCATCCCTTTGGCCAAGCAGGGCCAGCAGGGTGGGGTGAACACCATGCTTGCGTTAGGAGAAACCACTATGGCTCCGGTGTCCAGGTCCTCTGGAGGCTTGACCCAGGTAGCTGATAGCATGCTTTTACTTACTAAATTGCACTATGATGGCATACCTCCGCAGTCACTGGGGCTTTCTGTGTCCCAACTTGTTCTCTGACAGCTGTACTAGGTCACCATTGTGTGCATGCTCTCCCCCTGCAGCCCAGGTGCTGAGACCCCAGTTGGGTCACTGTGGTTACTCCCACTTTCCCTGACATGGTTCCTTTTTTGTCTTTTATTTTGTATTGATTTTCCAGGAAGGAAAAAGAACAGGAATTAAGGGAAGGGAGAAGCATTTTAAATATTTTGCAGCATATTTCTGTTTGACCCCTTGTCATTTTGCTTATAAATGCCATCAGACTGCACCTCTGCCATTAAGAACATTAAAGGGGAACTTTCTGGAAAGCTGCAGGAGTAAAACCTTATGTTTCCCTCAAGGTTCTGCTTATTTGGAGCATTTTTTAACCTTTCAACATCATCTCTCCATGACTTACAAACATATGTTTACACGCTTTTACAAATTGTATACTTAATTTCTAAGAGAGTTATTAGCCCCTGAGTTATTTTTACATGCATTTTATTTTAATGGATGTAGTAATTCTTTTGTTTTTTATGTTATAAATGTGAGTTAAATTTTTTGCTGGTATCTGGTTTATCTTCTGAGGTAGAATTGGTCTGTTCCCTTTGTGACGTGGTGTTTTCGGGATGTGCTCATGGAGGTATCTAGGGCTGTGTTGGTTGGTGTCCTCATCACGATAGCTCAGTTCTCCTTCCTGGTGTCTATCCCTGACATCTGAAGTAGGGGTATGGACATCAGACTGAGAAACCCATGGAGTAGAGTGTCTGACCCAGGGAGGGGGAAAAGATTTGCAGTGTCAGCGCCTCTCAGATGGTCCCGGGTTGATGCACTGTTGTTCTCTACAGAGGGCATGTTTCCTTTCTTCGTGGGTGTGGATGGGGGCTGTGTGTTCCATGTCTACAGCCCAACTGTCCCCTCCCTTGGAACTAGCAATGAAAGGGAAGCTAGGTCTAGAAGGAAGGGCGGACTGGACTGAAGGTCAACAGAGGCCTCCATACAGACCAGAGAAAGTTCTGAGGTTCTGAGTTGAGTGCCCTGAGCACTCATAACACTGGGAAAGTCTGTGTAGGCCTGCTTCTGCAAAGTCTGGGCTAGGGATGGCTTCTGCACTTGTCTGTCATCACTGGGACATGCCACCAAACCACAAGTAAAGTTGTATGAAGGTCATGGTTGCTGGGGTCTCTGTCCCCCTACCAGGTATTCCAGGCTGTGTGTCCAGTCAGCGTGGGGCATCTTCTTCCCAGCTTCTGACCTCCGCAGACACTGTCAGGTGCTTGACCAACATTAGCCAAGTTCCTGCCTGGGTATTCCTTTGGAGACCCAGTACTGAGTAGCCTGCATGTCATCCTTGCTGAGGGTGGCAGGGACTGATCTCTCTGCTGGATACAATGACTCAAGGCTTAGCTTAGTTTTCTGGGTGATGGCTCTTATGGGGACTATACATATAGATCACTGTACAGAAATACAGAAATGAAGACGCCACCCACCATGATTGTGCAAGTCACTTCTGGCCGTGGACTGGTGTGACTTCCCTGTCAGTGGAGGTCCTGGGTGGGAAGGACCATTTAGCAGTCCCTCTTTGGGAAAAACCCATGGAGCTCCTGGCATGCTATGGGCCTGCCCCTCAGCTTCTTCCTGGGCTGCACAGCGTGACATCTATATAGAGTTCTGAGTGACAGAGCTGCTGTCCAGGAGCAAAGTCTTTCCAGACACCACACTGTGGAGAAGGAACCCTCTCCCTTGGAAAATTTCGAGTTCCTTAACATTGTGTACTTGTGGCCACAAGGGGGCAATAAAGGCACAATTTCTGGAGGTGCCTCACAAGGAGCATTTTTTAGACAGACTAGCATCCTTTCTTGACTCTTCCTTAGGCAAGCCTGGCTATAAGGAGTGGCCACTTCCTCTTCTTCAGTGGGACTCTGAGCTTGAGGAGTTTCCCAAAGGTATAGGAACAGTTGTGTTCCCTGTGGGCAGCCTCCCTTTTGTGTGTGGATCTGATACTGTCTTTGATGGCAGAGAGTGTGGTGGGAGACAGCTTTGGAGACACTGTGGCTAGTGGTTTCAACTTCCCCACTGTTCACAGAAAAAACCCTGTGGTTTCTTCTGCCACTGGTCAGATGACACCCCAACTCCAGAGGCCTCACAGAGACAGGGTACTTCTAAAGTCTTCTGGGACGCCATAGGGCCTGCACCCCAAATCCAGAGGCTTTACAGAGACAGGGCACCTTCTAAGGTCTTCTGGGTTCCAATAGGTAGGGTAAGGTCTGCCGTAGGGTTTTGTGGGGGACACAGAGTGAAGGCAGTTATCTTCTTGGGGTGAGAGACTGGTGTTGTCTCCAACTCAGAGGCCCTGAGATACTATTTCAAGGTGGAGCTGTCTGTGACAGGATCTTCTATGGCTATCTGTGACTTTAGAAGAAAACTGTTTGTACTCAGTGCTTAGAATCTTCTTGTTGTTATTCCCAGACAGCAGGGGCACAACTATGCCTATGGCTTTGTAAATATTAGGGAGAACATCAGGTTTTGTAGAAAAGGGAAGCTGAGATGGGATTTCCCTTTGTTAGGAGAGACTCAGGACCATGGGCAGCCATGACCAGACCTTGACATGGAAGAATAGAGCATCAGGAGAGAGAGCATTGGTCCAGAGGCATCAGGATGAGGCCCTCGCTGGGGAAAGAGCACCTTCAAAGCCCTTAAGGGAGCTGCATCAAAAGAGACAAGCTACTACATGAAGGAAGGGCCCTTCCATCCCTAAGGACAGTGGGGTTTTCTAAGTCTCATGGGATTTCAGTGTGGGGTCCAAAGGTAAGCTCCGTATCATGTCTTAGCCTGGCCTTGTCTACATGCCAGGCACAAGAAGTCAAGAAAGCACTAGAACTAGATAAGAAGGAAGCTATAATTCAAGGTTGTCCTTGGTCCAGAGATTGGAGGCTGGACTTGTTCACAGGTGCAAGTGGAAGGGAGAGAATGAATTCCCTGTGAGGGCTGCATGGAGGCGTGTGTCCGTCTCCCCACTAACCCCTCATTGTCTTGATTCCTATGGCTTTACAGTAAGTCCTGAAGCGATAACAGTTTTCCATGTTTGTTCCTTTCTTTCAGGGTCCAGAGTGCCAGCCGTTAGACCATGAAACTAGTCTTGTTCTTTTCTTCCATATTTTACTGACCAGATCTTTTTCTTCTTTACATAAACTTTGAAAAAAAATTATTTGAAGCAACAACTTAGTTTGCAAAGACTTTGACTGAAATTGTATGGGATCTAAAGACTGGGTTGGAAATGACCGAGATTTTGATGTATGGTCTGGCTATCCATGAACAAGGAATATTTTCTATTTTCATTGGATTCCCTGTTTGTCTTTCTCATCAGGATTTTGTAGCTTTCTTTGATTAAATTTGTACCTTAATATTTCATTGAATGCCTGAGTAGCCAACCTTTTTATGTTAATGTAATTGATATTCTGTTTTAAATTTCAAATTTTATGTAGTTATTGCTAGTAATATAAGAAAGTGATTGACTTGGAATTTTTTTTATTTACTTATTGTTTTTAGGTGGTGTGTGTGTGTGTGTGTGTGTGTGTGTGTGTGTAAGAGGGCACGTGTCCTATGGTGCGTATGTGGAGGTCAGAGGACAGCTCTGTGGAGTTGGTTCTCTTTCTCCACCTTCGCAAGAGTTCCAGGGTTTGAACTCAGGTCACCTTTACCCACTGATCCATCTCACTGGCCTTTTGCATATTAACTTCAGATTTTGGAAATTTACTTTAATGGTGTAAATTAAAGTAAGGTCAAGAATAGTTTTCACTGTCAGTGTTTCCATATCATAGCCATGCAGGAGTATGTAAGAAAAGGCAGTTTTGTTTTCCTTCCTAAACTACATTTTATTATATTTTCTTGTTTTTATTAGTTGGGACTCCCTTTCTGTTGTCCCAGTGAGGCCAAGGAGAGCGGGAATGAGGTAGGCAGTGTCCACAGGGCAGTGGATTGAAATTCAAAAATTGCCTCAGAGGGACAGGTAGATGAAGCACACTAAACTGACCAGCTGGTGTTACTGACCAGCTGTTGTCTGACCAGCTGTTGTTGCTTACCAGCTGTAGTCACTGACCAGCTGTAGCCGCTGCCCAGCTGTTGTTACTGACCAGCTGTAGTCGCTGACCAGCTGTAGTCGATGACCAGCTGTTGTTACTGACCAGCTGTAGCCGCTGCCCAGCTGTTGTCGCTGTCCAGCTGTTGTCTGACCAGCTGTTGTTACTGACCAGCTGTTGTTACTGACCAGCTGTTGTTACTGACCAGCTGTTGTTACTGACCAGCTGTTGTCAGTGACCAGCTGTTGTTGCTGACCAGGGTCTGTACAGAAATCATCTCTGAAGCGTGGTGAGTCCTCGGGTCCAGGAAGCCTGCTCCTCCCCTTGCCTTCCTGGGCAGAGTCAGATGTCCAGATAGTTCTACCACAATGTGTTCTTTCTTCTCTTCTCGTGACACCTGCTCAAACTCTGCTTATTTCATCCTCACAGATCCGGACGAAGGACAGGATCTTTGACAGCATCAGTCACCTCATCCACTACCATCTTGAGAGCAGCCTGCCCATCGTCTCTGCCGGGAGTGAGCTTTGCCTCCAGAAACCTGTGGAGAGGAAGCACTGACCAGGCCCAGAGCCCTCCCCATGCCGTGCACCAGGTCAGGGGACCTGGGCTCCACTGCTCTCAGCCTATGGGAACTGGGGCAGCTGTCTGTGGGCTCATCACCCTTTCAAAATCCCCCCTGCCCAAGGAGGTTTCCTTTGAGTTCAATTTCATAAACATGTTCCACACATCTCAGATGCGTATTAGAGGTGTATATACCCACACATCCTGTACAAATGGCCCCTATATTTATATTTTTTAAGACTAAGAAAGATGTGAGATGAATGCTCTATGCTGTATGTTTTTAGTGAGAGGCAAATTTTGACTATAGTTGTTCAGGCAAAAATTTGAATTCAACTCTACTGGGAAGCTCTGCTAGAAGGTGTAGCGGCAGTTCTACATGATAAGCACAACACAATGGGAATGCAGGTGAGCTGGCAGCTCCGGGACAAGCAGACTTGTGACAGAATATGACAGCTGCCCAAACATCTGCCCCTGCCCTACAGCCCCATGTGAGTGCTGATTCCAGGCTGCAGCTCTGCCCACAGATGGAGGTGCCTCCTCCGCTTCTGGCTTTCTGGGTGCTGCCTTCCATGCCCCAGATAGATGCCATGAAAGTGGGTTTTCTGTCACATGATGACCCACTGAAGTCCCACTCCATAGCAGGTGGTACTCTGCCTCTTTTTCTGAGTTGTGTTTTAGGTCATGTTTGACCCATGTTGTTTGGGTCATGGGGACCTGTCACCTTCGACCCTGGTTGTGTATGTGTGTGGATTTGGCGCATTTATTTTAGGCCCAATATGGTACACAATAAGACTTAAGATCTGTGGTTGACAGATGCTTCCTTTGCCTTCATCAGCGTAGTGATGGAATGAAAGTCTGCGGAAGGCAGGATGTGGAATGTATTCCAGGTCTGCATGTCCTTCAAGCCAGTGTGCTCGCCACAGACTGTGCATGGAAGGTGCCTGTGAGGTGGCCTCCCACCTACCTCTTGTATTCAGTAGAACAAAGGGCATGGGTAAGAACCCTGCAAGACAGGTACGAGCTGCTGCCCAGAATTGGAGACACACCCACTGTCTGCCAACCCCCCCCCCCCCCCGTTTCCGTGTGTGCTCGGCACCATGCTCCAAAGCCTTTGGTACTAGCTGGCTTGAGGGATGGTAAACCATCTCCCCTCCTCTCCACATTTTCTCAGTAGCCCAATGAAAAGTAACCACGCCCATGGCCCTTTGTCTTGACCCTCTTCCTACCAGCTCAGAAGCTGTTGATTCATGATGGGTGATTTCATGTTTCAAAGTTGGCTGTGTCTATGACTTAAAAAAAGGTGTGTGTGTGTGTGTGTGTGTGTGTGTGTGTGTGTGTGATCAGTCTGTGACTTAGCAAACACAGGTAGATGATGCATTTGCTGGTTGGCACCTCCTCATAAGACTACAGCCTGGCCTCTGGTCCCCATGAGATCCCATGTGTGTGGCACCCCTAGCCAGAAAACTAGGACTCTGTACATTTTAGGGTTGAATGTCATAAACTGGATATTTAAGAGGAATTGTGGGTGTGTATGGGTGGGTGGGTGGAGAGAGAGGGAGTCTAGTGTTTAAGAACACTCACTACTCTCCTAGAGAACTCAAGTTCAATTCCCAGCACCCACATGGCAGCTCACAACTGTAACTTGCATCCCGAGGTATCTATCTCTTCTGGCCTCCATAGGTACCAAGTAGGCACATGGTACATATACACACTTGCAAGCAAAAAAAAAAACCCATACATGTAAACATATTTTTTAAAAAGTAGTTAAGGGGAAACTTAGTCATTAGGCAAATCAGGGTTCTGCATGGCTCTGATGCTAAGCGTGTGAACCCTGCTTTTGCTGCTGTGTAGTCAGTCCGGTGCTAACAGGTGAGTCTGGGTGGAGAAGATCCCAGGCTCTGTACAAGAACACTTCTTTCCAGTTTTTACCCTTTGAGGGCCCACTGAATCTGAGTCGGCAGTAGAATATTCTAGAACTAGAATTCTGGGGAACCTGGCATTAATACTCACCATCCTACTGTGACCTGAATATGGATGAAGCCCTGGAGACAAGCAGATATAATGGTAGCCCCTGGCTCAGGCTCTTGCCCTGTTACCATACACATAGGCTTTGGGGTACTCCTAAGAGTCACCCTGCACTCTGCCTCTCTGGAGGCTATGCCTTGTGCACCTCCATACAGGTCTTGCTGCTCCTGGGTATGAATATATATTACATAAAAAATATTTATAATTGCCCTTTCCCCCCATTCTTGAATTCCACTTTGTGCAAGGCTGAAATGCCTGTGTTCAAGTCACCTGCAAAGTGTTCCAGACCATGAGGCACCTCCACTGTTTTGTGCCCCTCTCCAGAGAAGTTAAAAAGCCGCACTCAGAAGTTCCATTTGCTTTCTCTGAAGTCAGGGTGATAGGATTTATAGGAATCCATTTAGAAAATTAAAGTATTAGGACCAATGTTTTTCCTTTCCATTTTAATTCAAAATATGTAATTTTGATGTCAGATTACAGAACTGGACATATGTATGCTTAGGGAAGTCTTTCTGACACAGGGCAGGCTGTAGAGGGTATCCATGGCAGCCATGGTCTGACCTGTATTCCATAGGAAACATGCCAGAAGTCACACGGGCTTATCATGTCCTTCTACAAACACGGTGTATGTGATGGGACATTTCCTCAAACATCACTTACACACAGGGAAACTGAGGCTCACTTCAGGTGCCTTGGTCAGCTAACAGCAGAACCATTCTGCTCACTCGGCATTTTCTGTGCACAGCTGTCTGCTAGTCTGTGCTACAAGGCCAGAGCTGGGAACCAAACCCAAAAGAGCCTCTTCTTTGAGCCTGGGCTCCTCTTCCCTTGGTTTCCAGCCCATATCTGCCTGGGCAGGGTTACAGGCTACACAGCAGCAACTCCAGGCAGAACAGCACTGTATTGTGCATTCAGGCCTTTGACTCCTGGGCACAGTGGCTGAGTCTATACCAGGTGCGAGCATGCACTGTGTGCCTGGATCCTGTGCTCCTTCTTCGGGCATCCTGCCACGCCACCCAAAACTCTGCATCTATTATTAGTGGTGCATGCTGGAGCTCGGCAGCCTTAAGCAGTCTGTCTGCTCTTGCACAGCGGCCCTGAAGCCTCCGCCTAGTCCCTCCTTCCCACACTCTCCTGGGAGAGCTAGCTGTGCTTCAGATAACCTCTCCACACTGGCAAGGCTGGTTGGGCCTCCCATGGGGCTGCTCTTCATGGTCTAGGTTGGCTCTGAGTCTTGAACTTCTCCCCCCCACTCTAAGGTGGGCCGTCTGCTAATGCCATATTTAAATAGCTCAATCTTAAATCTACACTTATGTTCCCATATGTCCTTTTTGTATTTAAAGGACCAAGAGCTGGGTGCCTGCTCAACCTTGATGAGCAGCTTTCTATTACAGGCCATCTTGGATGGATTGATGCCAAATAGGCCACATGTGGCAACTAGGAGGTTCTCCTGGCAACAGAGGCACTTGTAAGCAAAGGCTGTGGTGAACCATGGGTGGAGGGAAAAGTCTAGATTGAAAAGGAGGAAGGGACAAGGGAGAATGAATTCCCCAAAGCCCGTAGGCTTCAGGTCACAGTTGCCAGGTGTCCAGGCTCTATGTCCACCCTGGTGTCCTGAAAATGCCCACTTTTCCAAAAGGAAGCTTTCCCCTTGGCAGCGTCAGACACCCAGGAGGCTTCCTTAGGGGAGTGGCCATAGAGTGGACACCTCGTTTCCATGTTAGAGCCAGCATCACGTCCTCTTCTTGATGGAGTAAATTGAGTAGAAACCCAACTTCGCTGTGATACTGACGCAGCAGTGGCCACATCAGCGAGCTCAGTGCCAGTACAAGCAGAACAGTGTGGCTTTGGCTGCTGGGTGGGTTCCCTGAGCTGTAGCTCCTGCCACACCCCAGGGCTTTCCTCAAAGATAACCACGTGAAGTGCATGGAAGGTGACTTCCTGGGGTTCTTCATTCAGAAGACATATTTCTCTTCTCCCCCGCAGGCCAGAGATGGCATGCCGTCTATAAATAGCTCTGTGCATGGTGACAGCCAGATTTCAAGTAGGAGGAGGCTAGAAGAAGGATTGCAAAAGAGATCACGTGCCCAGACAAATCTGTCTGATGCTAGTTCTCAGGAAACCTTTGAAGTGCTTTCCCAGAAAGTTCAGATAAACCCCACTCCTGGAACATATTACAGACCTGAAACTCTTGGCTTTGCATCGGATGATGGGCATGTTTTCAAGGCAGCTCGGCTGTCTTGGAGGGACCTTGTTTTTCAGGTGAAGCAATTGAGTCAGGAAGTGGATGGCAATGGTCAGGGCTAGATCTAGGAAAGAACCCAGGGCTTACTAAGGCCTCCTGAGACTCAGACATGTAGCTCACTCTATGGAAGCAACAAGCCGTCCATTTAGCCTCATGTTTCACGTTTCAAAACACATGAAGGACTGAGCCATGAGAAACAGGACTTATGGTTGGTGACTTTGCTGGTGTTCTCCCAAAAGGAGGCATCAGAGGGGTTCTGGGTACATATAGCTTATTTTGGAAATGATCCCAGGAGTTGGGAGGGAAGTGGTTAATAAGGAATGATTGCATTGTGGAGCATGCTTCCACAAAGTGTACCCCCGGGCATCTTCCTGCTGCTGAGCCTTGGGAGCAGAACTGGACCTGAGGTAGTGGAGAGGGCCGGGAGGAGCTCCACCGCAGCCAACGCGAGTGAAAGGCTATCTCCAGCGATTTCTGCCCTGCCCAGTGTACACCCACGCACCCTCTGCAAGCTGGGACATGCTGGGGCCGAGGCTGGTGTTTACAATAAACAGTCTCAGAGCAGAAGGCAGATATTGAAGCACCAGGCTGCTTAGCCCACACAAAGATTTCAGGGCTCTGCCCCTCGAGTTCCCCACTCAATGGGCCTAGAGTGTGGGGTGCATACTTGCATTTTTCAGCTTGAAGATGTGCCTATGCTAGGGGTCTCGGCTTTGACAGGGACTGGCGAGAGTCTCCAACCCTTCCTTGACTCTTACCAGTGGCTCCCCTGCCCCACCCCCACCTTTTTATGAAGAATTTTCCACACCATTTCGTGCCATAGATCCCAGGTCCATACTGTGAATTTAAAGATGGAGAACTAATAAATCTTGTAACCTCCTGCAAGCGTGGCTGGCAGATAAAATGCCATCTGCCCGACAAGATGCATTTATAGTGGGATTTATGCATATTTATAAGTTTGCGAGCGGCAAAGGCACTGTTTGAAAACTGGCATATCTGATAGCAGCCAGGAAAAAACACAGCTCGCAACGCAACTTTATACCAGGGTTTTCGAATGTGAACTGCGCATGCGTGTTATACACAGACTCAAAATTCCCTCGATTCAGATGGCATGTGCGCCTCCAGCTCAACCCTGTACTGGGTGTCCTGAGCCTCTGGGCTTTTCTAATGCGCACAACTGTAAATCAAAATGGCATCAAGAGCTTCGGGATTAATGGGCTCTCAGCAGACCCAGGGAACAAGGTTCTGGGTGCTGTGGAATTGTGAGACTGTGGCGCACAAAGGGGAAGAATGGGCTGCAAGGAGAGTGAAGGAGGCATGTCAGTCACTGTGGGCCAAGGCAGAGGGAGAGCCAGCCAGCTATAGCCATGCATGTCTGTAATCCCAGCGTTTGCGCGGTAGAGGCTGGAGGATCGGGAGTTCAGGGCCAACCAGGGCTATATCAGGCCATGTCAACAGAGGGTGGGGAGCAGTCAGCAGAAGATAAGGAAGAGGCAGATGTTAGATTGGAAAAAGAGAGAGGAGCAGATGAAACACCTGCAGACCCACATCTTTCCTGGCTCCAGCGCTGCTCAGGCACAGCCAGACTTGGCTTCCCAGCCTTCCTGGCCACCTTTGTATATTGTGTCCTATGTAACAGGCCCTGGAGGAACTCTTGGGACAGAGAAGGAAACAGGTGGAGCTGCCCGTTTATAATTTAATAGGAACCCCACCTCTAACACACCCAGCGGGGAGTGTCAGAGTGCCGAGGCCTTTCAGTGCTGGTGTCCCTAGATCCAGTTAGGGTCAGGACTGAGCTGGGGGCTCTGAAGGCTTTGCACAGTAGGTGGCGCTGTGGAGCCTGCGAAGCAGAAAAGGGTGCAGAAGGTCAAGATGGAACCCTGCGTGGAAACTGCTGATGTCAGCAGGATGTCACGGGCAGGCTGAGAGCCTGCTTTTCCTCTCAGATGCCCTGGGTAAGTGAATCCCTGAGACTCCCCCAAAACACACTTATGATTCTTGTCTTAGGGTGAAAGAGAGAAACCGTGGGAAATGAACAGCTTTATTACCCATCGTGCATAGAGAACCATCCTGTGGAGTGAACCTTCCAAGGTACCAGTGAACACTGTACCCCGGTTCACACTTCACCCACAACACTTTCCCACAACCAAAGCCACTAACATTGGAGTCAAGTGACAGCTCACAAGGCAGGGAAGAGTGGACTAACCAGGCTTGGGCAAGGAGTTTCTTCTTCTTCTTCTTCTTCTTCTTCTTCTTCTTCTTCTTCTTCTTCTTTTTTTTTAACACTATGTGTGAGTTGCCAAATTGACTGTTCTCTGTTCAACAACTTTTGGATACAACTTGTTTCAGAGGATTGTAAAATTATGTGCGTTTCTTTGTATTCAGAATTAAACATTTGATGTTTAAAGACCCCGGATTAAGGAGACAGCTCAGCATAAATGTATTGTATAACAAGGTATTTAATAGTTTTTCAAAATCATTTGGATGGCCATACATATTGATATATGAATATTTGGAATTATTCTGTTTCTGTTAACCTCTGTGAGACACAGTTACTGTAACAGTGATCTGTCTGGGCTTATGGCCAGCCCACATCCTTCTACTTCAATACCGGCATGGAATTGACTTCCTAAGTCACCTGTGAGGAGCAGAAATATAATACCAATTTCAAGTTTTCTAATACTTTTCTATGATAAAACTTAGGTGATTCGGTGAACATTTGGAGATCCCAAGATACAACAAGCAAAGGTAATTGGTTTGAACTGCCTTACCTCTAGGGGCTCCATCTTGCTCTTTTGGGGACTGGTGTCTCATGCCCTTCACCATGGGCCTGGCACACCACACCGAAGCTTCTGGGATAACCAAGTGGACTCAGTGTATCGCATCCCCTCCTCGTGGCCCAGGTATGGCAGGAGGCAGGCCGACTACTCTAGACAATGCTGTTCTTCTTGTTATCACTAGGTCCTGGGATATGTGCCTTCATCATCTGGACAGCCATCCATGCATTTCGGTTTCCATAGCAGCCCCCCTGAACCTCTGACCTAGACACTGAAATCATTTGGGTGATGAAGTTTGCACTTGTCCATACAGTTTCCAAAGCATGGAGCCAGTGATGTAATTATACATTTTCTATAAAACGCAACCTTGTTCCATTTCTGTGAACGGCTCTTTCCCAGCACAGAATAACCACGGCTCAAAGATTGAGAGAAGCAACCATTTTTAAATAGTTAATTGTTCCAGTGACTATAGGTGTGAGTCTGTTGGCAATAAAGGCTACTGTGAAAAGTGTCTCTTGTTTGCATGACAGAACTTACATGTTTGTATGACGGTGCCGTACGTGCCTGTGTAGAAGTTGGAGGACAACCTGTGGGAGTCAGTTCTCTCCTGGTATGTGGGTCCTGGGCATCTAACTCAGGCCATCAGTTTGGTGGCAAGACAACTCCCCGGCCCTGGATCTTGTAATGCTTCATAGAAGACAGGAGGATAGATTGGAAGTTTTCTCTAGAAAGCGGGTGTTTTGCTTTTCCTCAGAAGAAAAAAGGAAGACTTGGCAGAAACACTTCCAAAGACTCCCACCAGCATTGTGAGCTGGAATACAGATGGTTTTGGGCAGGTCAGAGCTCACCGTGGGAACTTTGCCCTGAGGACTTTTAACTACAGGTTAAAACAATTGTACTCAATGGAGCATTGGGCCAAACATGGATCCTCTTCGTGTAGGATTCAGGTTAGAGGTTGAAAGTTAGAACTTGTGAGGCAGAGAACCAGTACCAAGGGCTGGCACTGACTTGCTTACCTGTCTTGCATAGCACGGACAAAGGCCGCCCAGTCTAATGCCCTCTGCTTGGACAATGCTTTTATTTTATAATTTCTCCCCTTTAAAGGGGCTATTACCGTTCTCCAAAACATGGGACCTAGGCTGGGAAATGGTTCCATGGGGATGCCCTGTGCCTATGTAAAAGCCACACTTGGCAGTTTGTGTCTATAATCCCAGCAGGAGGAAGGCAGATCCCAAGGGCTTGCTGGCCGGTTGATCTAACCAAACAGGCAGCTTCGGGTTCAGTGAGGGACTCCGTTTCAAAAAATGAGGTGCAGAGCAACAGACAACACCCAACCTCAACCTCTGGCCTCTGCTCCTGTGTGCACAATAACACACATGTGCACACACATGCACACACCACAGACACACGCGCTCACCACCACCACTGCCAACAGCAGTAAAACATACTGGCGCCAGTAGCACCCAGTACACTAAAGCTTCATTCAAACATCTTCCACAAGATGGGGCTGGATATAGTGACTGGGTTTCTAAATGTGGTTTATTCCTGAAATGATGGGAGACCAGGTACCAAGGGAGAAGCCAGACATCCCCCTTACACTCCCGAATGTCTATTGTGAAACAGTAACAATGTGCCACACAGACCCCAAGAATGGGTTTTATATGAAGTCTCTTATTTATTATTAATAAACATAAACTGCAAGTAGTAAAGGTTGCTCACAGCCCTGGGTGGGCCCCAAGTTCTCTGGTGTCAGGCACTTGTTTCCGACTGGCAGGGTGAGGGCTTGGGCAGACTCAGCGTCTGAATGCCGGTGGCTGCTGGCAAAAGCAGTACGCACCTGCATCACAGGTGACCCGATCAGCTTTGGGTATATCAAGTGAACACAGCTGGGGTTTAGTGTATTTTCGATTTCAATCACTTCAAAATCTATCATGCTACAAATGATGCTGCCTCCCAGTGGGGGCGGTGGGCGTGGCTCCCTCCAGGGGCTGATGAATGAAAACAAACCTAGGCGGACATCACAAGTCAGGGTCGTGGGAAATGTTATTAATATGAGTGACCCAGGTGCACGGCCTCAAAACATTCCAATTATGAAAGAACATGTCCTCAAGCCCTTTGTTTCCACCTCACCTTGCCTCCCCGCCCCCCCCCCCCCCCCCCGTCTGTTTTCTTGGTGTTTTTGTTTTGTTTTGTTTGTTTGTTTTGTTTTGTTTTGTTTCCTTAACCCAGAACCTTCGCGCTTTACCAGAGATGCCTTGGGTTTTGTCAACACAGTGTGACAAGAGAATAAGTTATTTTTTTCAGTGATGTAGAAAAGAGAGCAGAGCAACGCCCCAGCAGAACATCTTCTCGGCAGTACGCTATAGCCACTGGGAATGACATGAAGGAAACTCTCTTGTCAGTCAGCCCATGGTTACCTAGGATCCATAAAAAAAGTTCTTAAGGAAGAGCAAATGCCATCAGGTAACCATCCAGAGTAAAATCAGCATTCGAAAGGTCCCTGGTATGTAATGGCAGGGTTCGTAAGGCAATGGTCTCTGAGGCTGATCAACTCACGGGGTGCTCTGACATGAGGGTCCCCCAAGTGAGAGTCCTTTTGAAGGCTTCTCTAGGAGCATGGGTGCTGGCGAGACCCCCAGATGCTTTTCATCTGTGTGTCCTGTGGCTGGGGCCCTTGGAGAGGTCAGTTCAGAGGTACCCTCTGAGTACTTCCTTTACATGGAGGGCAAAGGAATGCAGGTCCAGGTGATGCGAGCATCCATTGTACAGGAACACGATGGTTCTCTGAGGGAAACACAAATGGCCACTGCCCACCTCCCAGCCTGGCAGAGTCCTCTCACGGAACAGTCCTGTTCAGGGCACGTGTGGCGGGAGTTGAGAAGCTTTGCTGACAGCTCCGGCTCCTTGCCAGTGACAGCAGACGGGATGTTTGTATCCAGCTTTTCTATGTAGAATCAAACAGCATCACACAGCTGAAGTGCTGGCTTGCAAACCGTACTGTAGCAAACTGACTCCAGTCCCTTGGAACGGTGACCCACAGTGGAGAGCGCTTTGCCTCCCCTTATGGGCTTGCTCTTTAGTGGTCTACCGAGGTTCTGAAAGATTCTGGCTGGCTTTTCAGTGGTTTTCAGAAATACCCAAATTATCACATAATTTGGCTTTCACGTGTGCTTAAGCTTATGCATGGGACTCAAGAGAGAGGGACCCACATATCTGGGCATCTCTTGGGTGAGGCTTCTGAGAATACAGAGCTTTAATAACGTTTTACTGCTATGCGCAAGAATACCAGTGCAAGAGGACTGGATGGGGCACATCTCCTTTGCACTTGGTGGTGACCTTGAACCTGATACAGCAGTGGGGGCTGGTTTGGAGAGACGGTTACATAATGTGTGGAGGACTGATACTTCCTGCGGGTTCCACCTGGGAAAACCTGGTGTGCACATCCTACGCCACACAGGAACGGACAAACACATACATGAGCACCCATTCTATGAAAGAAAGAAATGTAGTGTGAAAAGAACGAAACATCATCCCAAGGTGCACTGTGCACAGCACATCCCCACCTGCCCTCTCCCCACACCGGGGAAAGCGGCAGCCAGAGGCAGTGGATGACATCAGCAGCTTGGTACATTCGGAGGGATGGAGCCTGCAACAGATAAGGCACATCCAAGTCAAGGTGGAAATGTTGATTCCTTGGGTCCCCCTCCTCAGGAGGTGCCCACACTGTGCCCACACCAAGCAGACCTCCAATGTCAAGGTCTCTGAGAGCCCATGTGGGTAATGCATGCAATAAATAAGTGTGGCTGCAGAGCTGGCCCTCTAGAGACCATCACTTGCAGAGGACCCCGTTTTGAAGTGGTCTGTTTTTGTCAGCGGTGCAGGAAGAGGTGGCGACGTGGGGCAGGTCTTCCTTGACCTTGGGAGAATGGCTACTGTTGTTACTGGAGCTTGATTTACTTCTGCTTGGGTCAAGAGCAGGCTGCATGGGTGAGGCCTGGGTCCCCTTGCCCCTGACTAGACAGCCACACACCAGCCGGAAGAAGGCACGCCGCATCTCTTTGCTGGCCAGAGTGTAGATGACAGGGTTCATGGCAGAGTTGAGGACAGCCAGCATGATGAACCACTGACTCTTGAACAGGATGGAACACTCCTTCACCTTGCAGGCCACGTCAATGAGGAAGAGGATGAAAAGGGGCGACCAGCAGGCGATGAACACACTCACCACTATCACTACAGTCCGGAGCAGGGCCATGGATCTCTCGGAGTTATGGTTGGCCACCCTTCGGCTGCTGGACTTGACCAGGAAGTAGATGCGCGCATACAGGATGACGATGGTCACTAGGATGGCTGTGAAGATGCTGATGAGGAAGGCGATGTACTTCTTGGAGTAGAGGGGCAAGATGGTGGAGCAATCAGAAAAGTTCTCCAAGCAGTTCCAGCCCAGGATGGGCAGGGCGCCCAGCGAGAAGGCAATCAGCCAGCACATCCCAATCAGAAGGAACACGCGGTGCTTCTTGTTAGCGTCATAGGGCCTCATTTTGATCATGGTCAGGTGCCGCTCAATGGCAATGGCCAATAAACTGCAGGTGGACGCGCCGAGGGCTACAAACATACTGCCCTCCCTGAGGAACCACACGGTCGGAGACAGGCTGAACGTCTTCCTACCGGACATCAGAATGTTAACTTTGTAGGCGATGCCGGCCAGCAGGTCGCAGAGAGCCAAGTTGCCAATGAAAAAGTACATGCGGTTGTGAAATTTATTGTTTTTCCAGATGGCAATCAAAACCATGAGGTTCTCCAAGACAATGAAACTACAGGTGACCAAGAAGAGGATGGTAGTGGTGTGGGTACCACCGTCAGGGGGGTCCTGCCTGCCTTCCAGTTTCCCCACGTAATCGTAATGTTTCCGGAGAGTATCATTCCCTAAGATGGGCTGGTGGCTCTGCGCATGCGTTGCCATGACTTCCTCTAGACAGATGGTTATCTCAACAGTCCACGAGAGGGCGCTCCAGGAACGTTCATTTCAGGAAACAATTGGGACAGTGGTGGTGGTGGATTCCGGAAGCGCTGCAGACCTGGATCCATCAAGAATGTAGAAAACAGGCTCTGTAAAGAGATGAAAGTGGAGGAAACCTTGGATCAAGTGATCGCCATTAACTGACCCTCCATGTGGAAAACGCCAACACTTTGGAAGGATGTGCAGAGAGGGCTCGGAACACAGGCCAAGTTTCCAAGATAGAGATGGGGAAAGCTGTTAGGGGCCCCTAGCTGTCAGAAGAAACCTTGATGTGATGTGCCAATCTGAGAACCAGGAAAGCAAGGCAGAAGAAGCGAGCAAGCTTCCGCCTGGAAACCTCCAAGCACCAGGAAATACTGAGTGAGTTCTCACCCACCATGTGGGAACTGGTAAACCACTACTCAACTGCAGAGGAATCGGATTTTTCTCAAGATGAGAAAAAGGGAGGGGAGGAGAGAAAGGAAGGAAGGACAGAGGGGAGGATAAGAGGTAGA